TGAAATATTTAGTGCCAACATTCTGAGACGCAAAGCATTAAGAGTTAGAATAGTCACGATTGGTTGGTTGTTCAACTTACGATATCAGTTAAAGTAGCGTTAATGTTTACGCTTTTTCTTCCTGTTCTTAGTGGTAAATCCACCAAATCTGTAGCACTTCCTACGTTTGTTATGAATTGAATTAGAAATTGATTGAGTTTATATTTTCAGTCAATTAATGAAAACTTTTTCTTACCTGTTTTAAATGTTGTAAGTAAGATGACTAAAAATGATAATATAAATAGCATTTTGTTCCGTTCATTTTGCAGGGAAAATGACATGTTAAGACTTAATGAACAATCACAATCACCTGTAACAATTTCAATTTACTTATGATGTTGCACGTTTGAGAATGATGCGAATGCTAATTGAAATGATCTTTATAATGTATTTACTAACAATAAATAACAATAAACGCCTAAGATTAATCTTTCGATTATATTTAATCAATAAATATTTTGTTCGACAACAAAACACTATTTACAAAGTTTTTCTTATATTGATTCCAACCTTCATTTTGCAATCAATAGATTTTCTGCCGATTAAAAAGTTGCAGCATCTTGCATCAACAGCCAATTTCGGATCCACCAATAGTCCTGGATTCTCATTGCATCAAAATAAACAGCAATAATGACATTCTAATCATATTCAATTGTTATTGCAACTTTGAAAACATGAAATTCTACCACCAGCAAACATATAATTTTAATTGAATGATTTGGAAGATGAATTTGGATTTTTATGGATGATCAGTTCTGAAACCTGCATTTCATGCATTCGAAGCTTGATGTAAGCTAATTTGTAAGCCATGCTAAATAGTGATGAGTCTTGGATGTATCACTATTTAGCATGTAGTCTACGTAGGCCTCAATTAAAATTCAATATCCTTGCTGGTGAGAGTCTAGTTATACGGACACATATAATAAACAGTGCTATAGATTCAAATAAATAATCGTTTATTATCGCGCTCTAGGTCGGACTAGGTTAGGTTAGGTTAGATTAGGTTAGGTTAGGTTAGGTTAGGTTAGGTTTGGTTAGGTTCGGTTGGGCTTGGAAGGCCTGGGGCCTCAATTAACGGCTTTGTTATTGTTTTGTGTCCGTATAACTAGACTGTTACCTCCTTGCTTCTTTAAATAAAGGGCAAGATATACAATTATAAAATATTAGGAAAATTCATTTTTTTTATTATATGTTACGACGATTCGATGTATTTTTAAGCATTTCGAGCATAAAAAAATCACTAACTCACTTTGACACGTTACTTTGAAAAACGTAGATTCTTTTATATTTGATTAGTTAAAGATTTCTTATGAATCAGTTGATTGCCATATTTTATATCATTAAAACTGAAAAATTAGTCATAATGAATTTCAAGTTTTCATGGACTGAATCATGAACATCTCATAATAACGTAGAACATATAACCCTACTTCGATTTCGGATATTTCAGCGATTATTACGAAATAAAAAGGCCAGAAGGTCACCTTGCTGCTGTCGATGAGATGCTGATGTTTTATATCGTAAGAATCGCTGAAATATTCGAAATCGAAGTACTTTTCTAAAAAGTTTCGTTTTAAAAGCTAGAAAATCCGTTTTTTCGATCAGCTTTCCATGAAATTTAGTTTCGGTGATGATCTGAACTTTTCAATTGACCTGTGTTGGGTTATATTAAGTGAATTACATCTTTTTAAATAACTTTGAGGCCAAATTTCACCATTTTTCGATTCTTCGAAATCCTAGTATGAAGTTGAAAAATATATGGTTTTTGACTTTAGGCAAAATTAGATTTTGACGTCTTTGTCCATTTAAGGTCATAACTTGACCATTTCTGATCAAAATTAATTTATCTTTGCCCAAAAGAAAAGCTTGCTCGAGAAGTGTACCTTTATTTTATCGGTTGAATGGTGCCTGTAAGTCTAGGCTAACTGACGCAATTCAATTCTAAAAAACTACTCTGTGTTTTTACCGGTCATACCTTAGCTAAGAGTTGAGACTTTGTGTGCTTGTAGGGGCAGCAAAACTAAGTCCCCTGGTGCTACTGAAAAATTTCGAGAAATAATTTTGAGAAATAAAATTTTCTGCTTTTTCATAACGGTTCACTTCAATTTACAGTTTAATCAATTGATTTCTGTGACCGTAAAAAAAAATGAAATGAAAATCACGGATTGAATCATCATGGATTGATTTTTTTGTCAGCTTATCAACAGTTGTCTTGATTTTGCCTAAAAATTTTAACCGACAAAATCGTTGTGTCAACCGTCAATAAGTAACCGTCAACAATAAAACAAATGAAGAGTCTTCCCGAGTAATCTTTTAATTCTAAAGAATTTTAAGGAAGTACCCTGAAACTTAGGTTTTAACCCCTTATAAAGGCTTACCAGGCGTACTTAGAGCACCAGACCATCTATTCTGACCAAACTCTCGTTACAATGTAAAAACACTTACATATTACCGGACCCTTGTGTCAAACTGGCTATGGTTTACTTATAAGGTATGACTGGTAAAGAATGGAAATACATTAAAATCTTTAAATTTTGATGTCGACTCACACTCTTCCCATATTGTCACCAAATTAGACATGTTTTAACCGAAATTTATTGGGCTTCAATTTAATATAATTTTTAGGTTAGTTTTGATTCGTAATTCAATAAAAATGGTGCTTAGTTTAACGTGGAAGTTTAAGGGATTTATTTCCATTCTTTACCAGTCATACCTTATTTACTCCAATCTTTCTGAATATCTGGCTAAATTTGAAAAATTTTCACATTGTTTCAAGCTGGATTGAGATTAACAGATCGATCATAATCGTGAAACATCAGGACACAAGAAGAACAACAAATAATGTTTCTAGGTTTGATTTGTATTTTCTTCTTTTTACCATACAATCTACTTCATAAGCAAACTCTTGAATGCATAATGGCTCTCATATTGTGATTGCAATAAATCACTTTAAATTGGAAATTATTAATCTGAATAATGAAGCAAAGTGAAATACTTAATACATAAACTTCATTCACAAGTTTATCATAATAGCTCTCATCTTGAAGATAAATATCAATAAGATTCTCATTCTCGTGAGCTTGACGATGGGTCATAGCCACTGAATTCAATTGGATTCGAAGTGAAATAATTTTTATGCATAAAATGACCTAATCTGCGTTCGATTTTCTCAGATATAATAGTAATCGTGTCTTTTCATGAGTTCTGTACAAGAATTACCTGCAAATGACAAGGAAAATATCAGTTGAAAATATTTGCGAGCAATTACATAGCCTTCCATTGTTAATACATTATTGTCTTAAAAAATTTTATTTGAGAGGCAGTCAATCATTCAGAAAGATCATGAATTTTGCATTTGCAGTGAATAATCAAATGAGATTATCAAATCTGTGACTATTCTATGCACAGCACCATGCATTATTTTGAGGTGTCAACTCGTGATTTTTAAGCGTTTGACGCATTTAGATGATTAATTTTTTGATGAATTATAATAGTTTCAAAAAAGATTGTAACTTTTGATTAAAGATGACTTTTTGTAGCAAGTGAAACGCCCTCAAAATGCAACACTATGAAACAAAAGTTACAAAAGTTACAAAAGTTTAGATGGACTTGAGGCTAAATTGTATCAATCTTTGCATACATTTAAAATGGACCATAATTTTCGATGAAAGAAATTAGACAAACAATTAGAAAATCCAAAAAATAAAAGCCATTTTCAAATTGAAATATCTGTTTCAGGGATTAAAAGCCTTTCAAAGGAGTTTTCATTCAAGTTAAGAGTTGACATTTTGTAGATCGGTAGAGGCATGAAACTTAAAATTTGTCAATATAAACAAACCAAATGTAAATCAACTCGAAACTCTGTTTTTAACATTATTCAACAATGAAATATAATTTGCTTAATCAAGCGAAATCAACTCTGATAAAATAATAAATAAACTAAATTATCATACAAACAAAATCAGGCCAGCAAGGCGTTTTTCAAAATAAATAATATGGAAAATTTAGGAAGAGTTTAGAGATTAGTCAATGAATCAACAATTAAGAGCTCAAAAGTCGATTGATTAACCATTTTTTTGTATAACTCTAGCAGTTAATCTTGAAAGATTAGGTCAGCGATTCAGTCAAATCAATAAGAGTCTATGACTAAATTTTGCCAACTCGAAGCTACAATTCATCCAAAGTTCTGAATCGACACTTATCATCGTAAACTTTACGAGCAAGGCATTTCTTAATGGGATTGAGATTAGGACTGAATGCAGGCCATTGCATGACTTTGATCTCATTGACCTCCAACCATGATTTTTTATACTAACCTATGGGTGGTGCATTATCATAAATGCTAAATTTTAGCTCTTTGACGCTAAATCGGCCAGTTCAAGCTTCACGAACAATTACATACAGCTTGTAATGACCAAGAACTAAAAAAGCTAAAAAAAGGAACCTAAACTCACCCAATTGCAACCGGTAATATCAAATCCCTAAACAATCCATTAACTGCTTTCAATGTTATATTTCAGTAAAAATTTCAAGGATACGACTTGAAACAAATAAATTATAAACAATATAATTCTGTTGAAAATTGATAGCAACATTTTTCCCCTTAGTTAACAATGCATTTATAAATAATTAAAATAAATCAAATAACGCTCAATCTCTAGCTTCCCTAATGCAGTGTAATAATATGATAATATAATCAGATACTATTAATAAACTAAGTACTAGTAGTATGGACTTAATAATCAGAGGCGTAACAATACAATTATTATATCACACGTTAACTTTCATCGATAATCATGTTCATGATTGATGCTAAAAACAAATTTCGAACTTTTAATATCAATAGTTTCCTAATTATTATCGTTGGATGAAACATGATTCAATAGATTTGAATCAATGAAAATACCCACAGCATGGAGTAATCATGTTAGATTGTCAGTTAATTAAACAATATAAAAACTTGCAAATAATTTAATGATCACAGTTATATAATTTTCATCCATCAAACCATATTAACAGTTTACAATTAAAATGATTCGAACAACTTGTTTCATCGCTCTTTTTGCCTTGGTCACTGCTGCCAGTTTGTCCTATGAAAATGAATGGGAATCATTCAAGGTAAGTTGTTTAACTTAAAAAACTGCTAATGAATTTTACATTCTAACCTTTTACTCTCTGATAGGCCAAATACAACAAAGTTTATGCTGATGAAAGAGAAGAAGCTTGGCGAAAAACAATTTTTTTGTACAATCTGAAAAAGATTCAAGCCCACAATGAAAGGGCTGAAAATGGAGAGCTTACTTATCGCTTAGAAGTCAACAAGTTTTCTGATTTGGTAAGTTCACAATTCAGTTAACTATTCAATGAATTGGTGGTTTATGTTTGTTTGATATTTTAAATAATTAAATAGACTGATGAGGAATTCAAAGCAGCTCATCTTGGTTTCAAAAAGAGCGATCAATCTGAAGCAAGTTTATCCAATGAAAATGAATGGGAATCATTCAAGGTAAGTTGTTTAACGAGCGAAACTGCTGGTAAATAGTTGATTTCCCATTTGACTTTTCATTCTCTGATAGGCTAAACACAATAAGGTTTACGCGGACGAAAGGGAAGAAGCTTGGCGAAAAACAGTTTTCTTGTACAACCTGAAAAAGATTCAAGCCCACAATGAAAGAGCTGACAATGGTGAACACACTTATCGCTTAGGAGTCAATAAATTTGCTGATTTGGTAAGTTCATTATTCAGTAAACTATTCAATGAATTTATTCTTAATATTTGTTTGATATTATACATCATTGAACAGACCTATGAGGAATTCAAAGCAGCTTATCTTGGTTTTAAAAAAAGTCAGCACTCTGCTCCTCTTGTCCACAATGTCAACAAAACATTTCAACTTCCAGCTTCAATTGATTGGCGAACCAAAGGAATTGTAACCGAAGTCAAAGATCAAGCCTTTTGTGAATCTTGCTGGGCTTTCTCAGCTATAGCTTCCATTGAATCCGCAAATGCCCAAAAAACTGGTAAATTAGTTGAGCTTTCAGAGGAAAATTTGATTGAATGCTCTTGGGGTTACCACAATAAGGGATGTAGTGGTGGTCTTATGGACTCTGCATTCCAATATGTTATAGATAACAAAGGGGTTGCTACCGAAAGTTCTTATCCATACACTTCTGCTGCAGGAGATAGCGGAAAATGCAAATACTCAGCTTCCAAAAGAGGTGCTTCAATCTCATCCTACGTTGATATTCCGCAAGGTAATGAGAATGCCCTTCTTCAAGCCGTCGCTCAACGAGTTGTTTCAGTTGCCGTAGATGCATCTGAATTACAACATTACGAGTAAGTAGTTTAAATTCACATATCGATCAGCTCAAATACTGAATACATTTTGGAATAGTAATCAATTCCTTATTTCCTCACTTTGAATCTAGTTCTGGTATTTTAAAGTCAACAAAATGCTCACCTCAGGGTATCGACCACGGTGTAACCATTGTAGGTTATGGTGTGGATAATGGTACTCCTTATTGGCTGATTAAGAACAGTTGGGGAGCTGATTTTGGTGAAAATGGTTACTTCCGATTGTACCGAGGTAGCAATATGTGTGGAGTTGCTGAAGCAGCTTCATATCCAGTTGTTTAAAGAATTTATTGTGATCAACAAAATTGATGTAAAATTTGAAAGGCGTCAATAAAAATACTCACCTACTCGAACATATAAGAATATTAATAAAATACTAAGAACTTATAAGACACTTTTAATTCACTCGAAAAATTTTTATTAATTACAACCCATGTTTATCATCTACTCGAGAGTGTTTCAATTTTATAATTGATAAACGATGATAACCAGAACAATTTTTTGATTCGTTCCAAGACGATTTTGTTCTTGATATTGTTTTGTCTTGTTTCAGGTAGGAAAAGTAAGAAAGAAAGTCTGTAAAGCTAATTGCCAAGCAAAGCCACTTTCCTCGGTTCAACTCAACTTTAATTTGGCTCAACAACAATTTAAATTTCAAGTGAAGTTTAATTCAATGAACTCTAAAGGTTCAGACCATAGTTTTGAATGTATCTCGAAAACTCCCATTTCATCATTTTCATCTTTATTTTGACGAGTTTACCGGATTTATTAAGTAGATTGCTATTTATCAACTCCTTTTATTAGTAAATCTTGAATCTTGTAGTAAGTATTGTTAGAAATAGTTTTTCATTTCTTAGCAAATTACCTAAAAATAGCTTTCGAAAGCAGTTTGCAAAACTACATTATGCAATGTAACATGTTACGAGTGAGAATATAGTTATTTACCCTGTTTATCTTGACGTTTTTTAGCCTAGAATATTATATACTTTGATATCGCAAACGCGACTCGTTTAAAGATTCGCCTGTTCACATTTTGATTTCTGTCACGAAAATTTGCGAAAGCTTACTCTTCACCAAAAAATGAAACTGAAATTTTTTTCCAAAACTTACAATTCAAGCACGGTACTCACTCAGAATTCACCATTTTCAGGCTGACTTGGGATAAAAACTTGTTAACTTTCTCAAAATATTGGAAAAAATATTTATCCTTGTCCTAAATCCTGACTAGAGGTCGAAGGATCAGGTTATCTTGAATATTCTTGTGAATATAAAATCTGGTTTAATTTCTTAAATCATGGCTTGAATACCTGAAGCATCAGCGTTTCATTAGATATGACTACTAATGGCACAAATGATTAGAAAAGTTTTACAGTAATTAATAATAATGTAATTCCATTGTATTTGCGAAAAAATTCAATGAAAATTTTCAAGTGGTCTCATCTTGCTGCTCATTTTGCTGTCTTTCCCTAGTGAAATCTTCATTTGTCTTTGAAGCATCATGCATATGTTTAACCTTTGAGTAAGCAAATGGAGCTATGAATCCCAATGAAGCACCGACAAACAGGAACAACATTATTATGCCAAAAGCACTTGATCCCGATGTCCCTGCAATCACTTCAGTTGAACTGGATTCTTTTCGTTTCTTTCCATTCGATTCCACTTTTAACTCGTAATTTGAACAATAAACTCCATCAGTGGTTTTGGTATAAGGACTTTTAACTGAGAAATGAGTCAATGAACAAGAACTTTCTGTTCTACTTTTAGGGCAGTAATTAAATGATTTACATCCAGTTTCCTCGCCATCGGATAACTCATAACATAATGAAGCACATTGATCCAAGGTTAATTGGGATTTGGTGATCATCACATCTGATACTATTTGATTGCCTGTTTTTTGGTATCTTTTAGATACTTTGGCTAAATGAATTACGAAAAAGCAAAGATCAAGATGGATTTAAGACTTGTTACTTGTGTTACTTGTAAGAATACTTACGAGTATATATCATGCATTCTTCATCATATTGAGTAGCCTCATCTGTATACAAAAAATCACCGAGAGTACAAGAACCATCACAGTATTGAAATGATATACAATCGGATGAGACATGACAGGCTTTTGCACAAGAATGCACAGAATCTTGTTCAACTGCAGTTGATTGCTGAGTTTTAAATTTTCTGTTGGACTTTTTTGAATAATTGTCGAGAACACTTATAGAATAAATTTCACATTTTAGGTCAGTTTCAATCGACTGGTCCAGACTGGCAACATCAGAAGCCTGCAAGCTGCTTACTCTACAGTCAATTACACCATCAGTGTTGCAGAATGAAAAAGTAATGCATGGAACTTGATCTGATTCATGACAGTTTCGGTAACAATCAGCAAAAGTCTTTGCATCTGGCACAGACAAAGTGAATTGATAATCAATTTTCAACTTTGCATTGTGTCTGATTCGAGAAGCAATATCATCATTGGAGCCAGTTTCCTTTTTAGTCACGTCGATCACATCACTAATCTTAAAACGCATCGCTTTTAAGGAAAGAATAAGAATAATTATCAGTTGAGTAAACTAACAAAATGACAAGTACTTACGAGAGTCTCCGTCATCGACAACAAAATTCACACCAACATATCGTAAGAATGCATCATGAATCTGGTCAAGCGTTAACTCTTCTTTAACTCGACGCAAATTGTTCATTGGAAATAAATAGACACTGCATGACTGTCCATGCTTAGTATCTTCCTTGAGATCATCAGGATTACTCAGGTATCCGCAGACAGAATCCGAAGGTCTGTAAATGGCAACCCTAATTTTGAAGAGGAAAACAATTACCAGTTATAAATTGATGCTAAGTGTTTATGCAATCAAGAAATGCTATTATACTTGATTATCTGTTGGTATCGAGATAATTTTTCTAAGCATTCGGGTTCATTGTTAGCCCTAGTTTTCATCATCTTGTCGAATGTCTCTTCACTGAGATACATGGTTTTAGAGTTGAAAATGACTGGAAAAGAAAAGAAAGTTCAATTATTGAACTCAATGGAACCCAAGTGATAACAAAACGTAATCAACTTACATTCCAAATGTGGTAGATCAAGAAATTTTACTTCCATCTCGATTTTTGTATCAGTGAAGCGATATTGAATATCAGCTATTCGTAGTAAACTAACAGGTTTAGTTAAAAGAATATAATAAAGGAAATCTCTTTTCAGCCAGTAAATACGTTCCTCCGTGTGCTTTATGCAAACAGTGTTTGCAGGAACTGGAGCTAAAGAAGGCAATAAGCAATAATTATTATAATGTCATTTATTCGTTTAATTCGTCCTCGTCGTTCAAAGCTTTGGACAATCAATAGTTTGCCTGTTGAATAATTTTGTATTGCAGACATGGTTATAAAATTGTAAAAGCAAAGTTATAGTCGGTTTAAAATAATCATTGAAAACATTCGAAGACAACATAGTCTTTCAACTAACTACATTGGATTTGGACGGAAAGGACACGAATTTCCCTAAACTACATAACTCTCAACCGAATTTCCATTGCAAAAGTTCATATTATAACTTTATTTAAATTTCAATACATACCAGCGCACTCTAATATGAAGTTGAGGATCAATTTTTCATCGCTAGAAGCGAAATTGACCTTTTCTGTTAATGAACGAATACTCTCGATGGATTGAGCTTCTTGAAAGCTCATAAAATCTCTTGTGATTCCCTCCGTCAAAGTGTAAACTTTTTTCTAGCCAAAGACATGGTATAAAGGATAATGTTAATATTTTGAGAATAACGAGAATTGAAATGAAGACCTACCGATTGATCATAATCATAGATGGAGATCTTGGTACTGACAAGAGTGTAACCCCGAAATACGTCATCATTATGCTTGAAAACGCCATTTAGATTAAAGTACAAATAGTTAAGCGAAATGAGTAATGAATTTGTCGTTAAAAATCACACAGCTGACTTGTGTCTGGACACCTCACCATTCTTGCCTATTAAATTTGTATTCAACTCACCGATGAAACGAAAAATTGAGTTATGACAGCTTTGTCCACTTTCTTTCCATTGATATTAACATTGAGTTGAACTGATTCCCATGCTTCAACGGGCAGTCCGAATCGATGTTCCTAAAAGAGATTCAATAAAAAACATTTTTTCATGATTTTAATTGCTATTCAAGATGCACAGTTTACATTTATGTTACAATTCATTAAACTCAACCAAATTTGTTTAACTCTAATAAAATACTCACCAAGTCGAGTCTCCCAACATATTTGAAGTTATCATTCAACATCAAAAGATTTTGCAAACTGAATAGACCACGGTCGAATCCAGGTGTATTCGAGTCTATGGATGCCACAGCAACAGATCCATTCGTCCCAACAGTGAAAGAAACCCCTAGTCGGTAGTCGTAAATAACTTCACTTGCTGAACCAACCAATGATGTTTTTATCCTCAAAAAATCGTAAAGGTTTGCAACATTAACCTGAAAACAAAAATGAATTGAATGACAAATGACAAATAAAAGTGTTGGGAATTTAACATTCACAATTTTACTTCGAAATGAAAGATCAATCGATGATGAATTTCATATTTAATTTACTGCACATTAAGACTCGATTCCAATGTTGGATCTTGTTCCCACTATGAGATATTCATTATTTATTTCAATACTATTACACTAACATATAACACTGATCTTTGTTTGATAAATAAACTAACCTTACTAAGTGATCGATGCGTGGTTGAACCTTGAACTCGTTCATCCATGGTGAAGTGCAGGTGAGAAACTTGCAACTTTGGAAATCGTTTATTTCCAGATAAGTAATGTGGACATCCAATTCCAGTTGGAGGCTGATCAAGGGAAAATAAGAATAAGCATGAGTTCATGTTTTTATTTGAAAAATGAAGAATTTGAGAATCAATATTTATCCACAATTATTTTATTGAACTAATACTTACTTGAACCTTATTTTGAACTAGATCCTGATAAATTTCGTTTTCAATGTAAGCATCTACATGTTGAATAGAATAGATATCAATATATAAAATGAGAATCTCTTTGTCTGGTCTCGAAGTTGGATGATAGCCACTAAATTCAATTCTGCTTGGACTTTCTATTCCAGATTGGTAATCGAGATGACCTGAGTTTACAGAAAGAGTACCAATATTTTAAATTATAACCACTTTAATCCAATTGTTCAACTTACTTTTGTAATAGAAAGTAATTTGCAAGTTTTCATTAATTTTTGCTGATGCACCTTTCATCATGATTCCTCTGATGTTTTTGTCTGCAACAGATTTCTATTAAACAACAAATAAAGTGAACTGATGCATTTGAATAAAAGGAATCAATAATAGTTACCCAAACAAACGACGAATGATCAAGTCGGTATAATATCGAAGGTCCCATCAAGAAAATCAGATCGAGCAAAGTTTTATCCCAACTAATATTGTAAGTTAATAGTAAACAGTTTGTACCTTTGGATAGTGAAATGAACAAGCATAATCAAAAAATTGAATTAACTGGAACAGTAACTTAGACTCGAGAAAAAAGTGTTCACTTCATTAGTATCGATGGTTTCAGAAGTCAATCTCATCACATGAATCTTTTAATATTTTCTTTCAAATTCCGTCAATCAGGTAGTTCAAAAAACTCGAATCTTCTTACCTTGAATAAACAATCGTTCCTTGCTGTCCACGCCAGTATACGAATCAGCATTATAATGTACTGAGTAGGAATCCTCATTGCCTGAGATTAAAATTTTACTTTTGATTGTTGGTCCAGAAGCTGATATCAACTCTTGTATAAAATAAATTTTATATCCATTCTAAAGAAAGAAATTAAAAGTTAAATTGATAAACAATCAGTTGATTGTTCAACTTACGACATCAGTTAAAGTAGCATTAATCACTGAACTTCCTTTAGGCATTTTCAATGGCAAGTTCACCAAAGAGACTGTTATTAAATAAATATATATTAGGTTAAGATTATTGAATTTTAATTTAAATTCTTACTTGTTGGGATTGTTGAGATTGGGTATAACAATGTAAAAACAATCAAAAGTTTGAGTAACATTGTAATGGAGATTGAATACAGAAATAAGCAGAAAGCAACAATTTGTATCCAATTGTTGTTGCTTAACATTTGCAAATGAAATAAATATTTATTGCTTAGTCTTTGATATTAGTCAATAATATTGTATACAAAGTTCACACAAAGTAAAGACGCCTTGCCTAAATAAATTAACAGATAACTCAGTGATAAACAAAGATATTAAACTTATCAAAGTCAATTGATTCAGTTCATAATTTGTGAATTTGTAAACAACAATAGAAACTGGAAATATCGTATCTAATTACTTAGTTGAATGAAATACAAAATTGATGAAACCTGTAAATAAACAGATTAGATACTGTTTTATCATTACCAGAATCTTTTTGGATTTAGTTGAGATTCTGGTTAGTCAACATGAGCAAAGGTTTCGTCTGGTTTTAAGGATGATACATTTACCCTATTAAGGACTTGGATTAATGGTATGCAAACAATGTTACTGTTATGAAGTGCCCAGCTCTTGATCATGATCTAATGGAGAATCTTTGGAGGATGACTTCGAAAATTTTATGCTATCGAATGTTCCTAATCTTGTATCGGCAATCGGCGAAAAATTCCGGACGATAGCTCTTGTCTCTTTCAAATTCAATAAATATTAGTATTAATATTATAGATTATTGAAGTTAAGGGTTTGAAATCAAACTTTTCATTTATCATTCACGAATAATTAAGCCCATCTCTAACCTTTTGCCAATCATTTCTGTCAACTAATTTTCAAATGGCTTTAAATTTTGAATCAATTTTTCAATCAAAATACCTAAAGCTTGTAACCCTTGTGTAAATATAATTTGGAAATTTTGAATCCAATCATTCTAATCGCAATCTTCTTCACGTTTGAAAGTTGTTAACTATCAATGTGTTCCATTATTGTTTTACTCAATCCATAGCTTCATTATTTGATCTCCCCAACTATTTATATAAGTATTATTGGTCATCTTGTGCCTAGTTAGCCATGAAGATGGTTACTTGATCAGATCTATTCAAGTGTAAGAATAGATATTAATGAAATTGATCGATACTGATATCGCTATGAACTTCACTTAATTGGTAGATAAATAAATGAGCGATGCATAATGAGATATCATGGCATTCAGATGATTCATATTTTATGTTATATTTGTAATCAAAAAGGTGTAGTTTGAATGACACGCAAAGAGTACAAAAAGTTATACTCTATTTTATGTTGTTTCTCCATTTCCCGCTGTAATTCAAATTTGAGTGTCATCGTCTGTTTCGACGAGTGACCGCATGCTGGCAGGGGTGAGAGTAGTAAAGGTTGACTATTGTGTTAAAAAGGCGGAGCCTATTTTCCTACATAGGGATAGAAGTAGTACCGTTGCATACGCTTCTAATGCCCAGAACGGAAACGGAAATACCCCTAAAAACGCCACCCCTCTCATGCATGATTAATTTCAAAACTAAACTGAATTTACGCTTGATTGATTTCACGGTTGACCTTGAATACTATCTTATGGTCACTATTCTTCTCAATACTTGAATGCTTCTTCATCACTACACTCGACCGTTTTTGTCACGTGATCTATACTTGTTCCTTTGATTTAGGCTTAACCTGGATGGAAGAAGGGGGACGGATGTCCCCCTTCTGGAATAAACAAGTATTAATGAATGACGATCACTTGAGCGTTTGTTACACTTGATTAAGGCTGAATGACTTGAGAGAAAGCGGATGTTCAAACAAGTATAAATAGCCAATCTCAAAATAATAATGCTCAATGATGTATGCTGTTGCCTATGTTCATTTTTAAAGTAGCTTCAATTATTGTTTTAATATTCAAAGAATACTTTTATATTGTTCTCGATGCGCATTGTTAATATAGTATCATTGTGGGACCTTGGAAAAAGGATTCCTTTAGCAGCAAGAATTAAAAGGTTCAATGCTGATATAATTAAAGACGTAAGCAATTGTTTATTACTGTTTGAATCCGGTAAAATAATTGCTACAGGTTTTAAATGATTTAGTGATATCTCCATGATAATGATATTTGTCATTCAGCTCTCAAAAATTATGGTTATAGTATATATTGAACGAATATATTCTCATACATTTCTGATGACTTTGGAGTAAATGATTGGGTGATAAATATACATTCAAGTATCATTATAAGACCAAAAAACTTTAATTTGTGTGAAGAGCTTCAATCTTTACAAATACAATGTAAAAAGGTTGAAATAATCATGCATGAAATATAATCAAAAGATTACAAAGGATTAAGAAAGTTGATGTTTATTTTTTAGGATTAAAAACATCATCCCATTGCTTTTGAATATTTTCAGGTATTTAAAAGTTATTAGGGCCTGTTTCAATGATCA